AAAAAAAAAAAAAAAAAAAAAAAAAAAAAAAAAAAAAAAAAAAAGAGGGGGGGGGTTGCGGCGATAAATCCAGCTCTTCCCGTGGGTTGTCGGTGGAATGCCGGTGCCTCGATTGGCATCATTCCTCGTTTTTTGTTTGCTCATCTTTTCTTTTCCCTCTTGTGTCGTTACTCATTTCTTTATCTGTGCTCGGAGCCTCAGACTAGCTTGAAGTGGTGGCCAATCATCTCAGCCATGTATGACTGAGCCTCCTCGGCTGCCGGCTAAAACACGATGCGTAGGGTGGCTTCCATGTCCCGTCACAGAACCAGGCAATTTCGACTCTTTTTGAGGCGCGTAATTTTATTCATGCTTTCCAACATTAAAAACTTTATGAATAAGGTACCTGGTATAGAATGAAAAGAAGCAGAAAAGAATGAAGAAAAGCAGGATTTGGAAAAGCAGGCCCATCTCTTGCAGAACAGCAGTAATCCGCACATCACAGGCTGCACATGTCGCCGTCCTTGACATCCCCACACCAGTCGCAGCGTCGCAGCACCGCGTCGTTCCACTGCCACGGTCGCGTATTCCCTGACACCGCTACGCCAAAAGCAAAGAATGGAGGTGGTATCGTGAAAGGCATGCAATCCCTGGCACCTGGCCCGATTGTGCTGCTTGCTTCACTTTCTGCGTCGGGGCCTCGCATCATCACCTAGACGTAAGCACGTCCGGTGAACTGAGACCGATGATCGCGATGCCTCCACCAATAAATCGCCGCGCCCAAGGCCGAAAATAGCCAAAGAAGAGCACTCGTGAGGTCCACCCAAACGGCACTTTTCATGCGCTCAATGTCGCCGTTGCCTCTAGCATCTTTGTGGATGTATAACTGCGGCTCGTTAGCAAATGAAAAATAAAATAAAAAAAACGCACCACGGCGACGGCGTCGCGCGCACACGTCGACATGTTGAAGACGCGTCACTCGTCTTTATTCGACCTTTGTTGCACATACCGAGCCGAACACGCCAAATACAGCGATCCAAAGAATGAAGAGAACAAAATTCCAAGCAGCACCGATTACCCCAGAATGCCGAAGCAGGGCAGGAATGAAATACACAACGCAGGTGACGGCAGAAAGTGACCCGACAACAACAGCATAAATCTGTGGCAGGCAAACGTCCTGGGGGTTAGCTCCTGGCCCAAACATCCAGATGGAGGACTGGCGAACATGGGTCGGCGGTACTTACCCACTTTGATCTGCTGTACTCATCTACGTTGTGGGAACTGTTAAGATCCTGGCCGTAGAGCCCGCAGACTGCTAGCGCCAAGGCGAAGCACACAAAATGCAACGAAGAGAAGGCGAAGTAGCTGACCGAGGTGCTAAAGACACCCATTGTGCGTGATGGGAGTCTAGCTGGTTTCTTTTCTTTCTTTCCGTCCGTCTTTGTGGTTTATTTTGGTGATGATGCCGGGATTGAGCAGAGCCGTCGCGAAGGAAGAGCCCACGATGGAACGCGTCTTGCTTGTCGACAAAATGGTTGCACACGCTTGCGCTCACGGGCAGATAGTCTTTGCGGGGCGACGAAACGGTATGTCGGCACGGAGTCGAGAGTTAGCAAAAGCGTGGTGTTGGTGAGGGGGAAAAGACGACGAAGATGAAAAAAAGAAGAAGTAGAGATGAAAGATGTCCGGCCGTGTAGCGGAAGAGAAACACTGAATACGCCACCAGATTTCCACTGTCGCTGCTTAATTCCCATGCTTTGAATGCTTTGACCTTGTTTAGGCGTCCATGACGTCACTGCTACCCGGCAGACATTGGCAAGCGCGAGCGAACTCGCCCAGTGACCACCGGGCCACCGCATTTCCACGCCTGATTTGCACCCAAGGCTGTCAGAAAGGACAATTCTGCAGTGTTGCACACAAGGTAGCGGGCGTGGCCACGTTGCACGGAGTGATCGCATTCGACATGAACATGCCCTCATCGCTGTCGTTGTGGCACCGAAGAATCCACAGTCGTCTTAGCACCTCGAGCGTTTTTTGCACGATTTATCTCCGCCGCCACTACTCACCGTAATGGACGCAGAAAAGCGCCGACTTGATGCTCAGGCCTCGCAGATATCCTTTCTACGAGATAATCTCCTCTACGTGGCCATGACTGCGACGCGGAAAGTCACTTACCATGCTCCTCACTCTTGACTGGCGATGCTTGAATGCCTCCATTCCAGAGAAAGTGCACCCTCGATTGCCGAAGCCTGGGGGGACAAGCGTAAATAGTACAAAAAACAATATGTATGACATGACTTAGAACGAATGGAAAGGCTTTGTGGCTTCGAGACACCGCCAAAAAAAAAATCATCCTCCATAATGCAATTGGAGCGAAGGGCTCATGTTTTCTTTTCTCTAGTGCGCGTATATCAACGACCAGATTGTAACTGTGTACATATACTGTAATAGTTAGCACCGTTATCAACCAAGTAACAGCCCTCGTAGCACAGTGGTAGTGCGTGTCACTCGTAATGACAAGGTCGTCTGTTCGATCCAGGCCGCGGGCAAGTCACAATTTCTTTTTTTGGCCTTTGCCAGTTTCGTCCTATGATTTGTGGGGCTGTTAGTTAGAAGCTGACGGCGGGTCGGAGCTTCCCGATTGATCACGATAAGGGCGATAAGCCGCTAAGCGCGTAGGCGGGGTCTTGGTCAATTCCGAATTTGGCTTTTTTTTTTTTTTTTTTTTTTTTTTTTTTTGCAAGAAAAAATAGGACGAGAAAAAGAAAGGAAAAACGCCAAACTTTTATGGCGAAAAAAGCTCAGTCTATAGACAGCATGGGTTCTTTCTCGGTTGAAAGCGTGTTGAGCGGGATGACGAACAGATTCGAACGCTCAAGGCTTTTGCATCTCGGGACGGCCGCCACCGTGGTCAGCGACTCGGCGCCCAGCTGATTCTCCATGTCGGCACTGAAGAGAGTCCAAGCTCAAGCAGGACTGCCTTGCCAGCCATGAAGGAACGTTGCCAGGTAGTGTTCCCCGACCTTGCTCCCCGGCACGCATGTCGCGCGGTCCGAGAACTTCGGCGCCAACCAGACTGGAGCAGTGAGTCACCAGGCGTTTCTAGAAGGTTGAGCCCAAGCAGATGCCCAAGGCAATTTCTCGACCTTTGACGGGCTGCCCGGGAAAGAAGGCGACGAACCACGACACAGAACAACAATCCGATCAGGCGACGGGAAGCTTACTGCGCCGTCAAGCTACGCCATGTATGTCCCGGCCTCAGTTCTGGCCTCAGTCCCGACTCCCGTTTGCGTCCTCGCACCGGAAGTTCGACGGCTTGGAATGGATCTGGCACTTGGCAACCCGGCCCAGGTGCATACCTACTGCATGCATGACACCGTACATGCATGTGTATCTATGTAGAGATGCAGTATACGTCCCGGAGGACGGCTGAGACCGAAACAAGTAGCACGGCAGATGACAGCCGCAGCCGCGGTGTTTTCTTTCTTTCCTTTTTTTACTTTTTACTTTTATGTTTACTTTTGTCTTACGTTTTGCCTCGCCGCTGAATCCTCCAGAATAGCTGTCTCGAATATCATGTCCTCGCTGATTCGGCTCGCAAGTTGCCATATCCGCGCTGGCACGACGTCCCGCAACGTCCTGCGCGGGCGAAGTGTCCGAGGTGGGCGAGACTACTGCGCCGTGCTCACCATGCGTCCAGTGCGTTTTTTCTCTATACACCAGACCAGACATGTTGCAACCCAGCAAGAAATAGGTTGCCGCCGGTGCCTTCCTGCGGCCTCCGGCCTCCCCTTGACTCACAAGGCTCGCTTTTATTTCTACGACGTTTGGACACATACATATATTTGGGAGTGGGCCAACACCACCATAGTCAGCACCGACCCCATGGCTATGCCGAATATACCATGAATAATTGGCCATGTCTGCGTTGATGTTGGGACCAGGGGACGACTGGCGACGTGAATTCTGCAAAGGGCAGACTCGGCGACCGACCAAGCCGGTCATTCTATTGTTTTTCTATGTTGTCTCGGCGTACGCCTCGGGTTTTCTTCTGCGGATATATATAACAGGCTGTGGAAGACACGATGTCCTCGAGGGAAAGAAAAGAAGAAAAAAGTCGCCTGTGATGGTCATTATGCAGTCTTGCATCGTGAGCTTGACCGCACTCAGCCCTTTGCATTGTTGTCAAAAGACGTCAAACACATGCAGATTTCCTCTTCAATATGTGCATTCCTGGGCTGTTTAAGCTGGTCCTTCACCACAAGATTATCATTATCATTCCTGAGCCCGGTTTCTGGCTGTGTGTACGTATACTGTATTTACCGTATGAGCAGCTTGGAGACCATCAACCCATGGACTAATCGGGGTTGACGCGGATAGTGCAACTGTGGGGTTGGCTGGCACAACCCGAGAATAGACGCCCATTGTCCCAATTGTTCTGCCCCCCAGTGCGACAAGTGCGAGTTCGCTGCTTGATAAACGGCAACCCCTCGACTCGGCGCAAACAAGCCCCTGGTACGCCATGTTCTTGCCACGGAGAAGGAATGCAGAAGAGGAGGCTTTATCCTGGAGTGGGCGTACTGTGCGACGGTCGATGTGGGTGGCATTTTCATGACGAAAACGAAGGGGAGTTATGGGGTTGTTCTTGAAAGGGTCCCAGGTTTTTCATTTTGAAGGCAACTTGCTGACTCGGCATGACTGGCAAGGCGTGGCTTTCCTTTCCTTTCTTTTTCTTTTCTTTTCTTTTTTTTTTCGGTCTCTTTTCTTGGCTCCTGGTCTCGTTGTTTCGTTCTGGTTTCTTTTTTGAAAGCGCATTCTTGCATATTCTTTTTTTTTTTCCCTCTCTCTTTCCTTCTTGTTCTGCTTCATCTTGTGATACCCGTCCTGAGGAGGATGCGAAATGGCCTGCAGCAGGCAGCAGTGCATCTCCTGGCTTGGGCCGTGAACGAGCGTCGTGACGGGACGTCATTGCGAGCTGGGACGTTGAGGCGGTAAGAGCCGTGAAAACGTCTGGTCCATGAGACATTGATGCTGCCCTGGGCCGCTCCAGGACACGCAGTCACGCCAGGCAGCCATCCGAGACGGCGGGGAGGCGAACAGCGCCTGGGGTACTTGATGGGTCGGGCATCTGGTAGGGTAAAGGGAAGTACCTCGTGGCAGGGTTTAAAAATGGCCAAACGCGAATGGGCATGCGACCGTGATGGTCCCCAGGCAGTCAGCCATACGGACTTGCCTTGATTGGGTGTTTCAAAAAAAAAAAAACAAAAAAAAAAAAAAATTCATCATCAAATAAAATAAAGTAAAATACTCTGGCGAGGCTAGGTACCGAAAGACAAGAATACCAGCAACTTGATCAACGTTTTTACAAAATCATGTACTCACCAGGGAATGAGCCCCACTTTCACCAAGCAGCCACGTCGGGTTCTCGCGCGGCGCGCCGTGGCGCAGAGAACCCGTCCATCGGATGGGAATGGGAATGTTAATCGGACGGAGACACAGGCGAATGCGGTCCGCGTGTTCAACGCCCCGACAGGAGGAGCAGAACGCAGCAGCTTCGTCACGACGGAACTAGATGGCTCCTCTTTCCGCGTCTAGGATGACGATAGCTTTGGCCGACACGACTGTGCGTGGCGGTCGACTTGATGCTGATGTTTCGTCTTGTTACTTTTTTTTTTCTTCCCGCCTCTGTCACGTTTACTATTCTATGCGGGTGTGCCTGTATTTTTTTTTTTTTTTTTTTTTTTTTTTTTTTTTTTTTTTTTTTTTTTTTAATTTTAATTTTAATTTTAATTTTATCAATTTTTTCGCCTTTCCTTTCCTTTTTTTTGGGGAACAAAATATTTATATCAGCCACCGAGCCCGGAATATCGTGTCTCCTGTAAAACAAACCCACTCGATGCATTCTGCGTTCTTTTTTTATTCATCTTTTTTTTTAAATTTTTTTTTCTTAGTGTTTCTCTTTTGCATCGTCACCCGCACGTGCATGGCGTTTGGCATCTCGGCATGCATCGACGGGGCTGTCGTGGCGGCATGACACGGTGGGGATTTGCGGGGGACCACGTTTGCGACTGCGACTGCGCCATGCTATTTTGAGAAACGCCTCGCTTGTTGTTTGTAGATGCGTGGTCGAAACGCCCGTTGTCCTCTTCTTCCTTGGACCATTCCGACGAGTATGGCGTGTGGTTGTTTTGTTCTTCCCCATGCCTGTGCTCGCCCGTTTCTTTCTGTGCTATTCACCCAACGTGGTTTGACCATGGTGTCTACGGCTGCCGCGGGATGGATTTGCCCGGGGTCCAGGGACCAGAGAGAACAAGCTCAACTCTCATCTACTTCTCGATCGATGCCTGACGTTCAAGGTTCGAGCAGTAGCCGTCTTCTCACGCTTCGGATGGCACGGGAATTTGCCACGTCCAAGCTACCAAGTCTTATGCTTTGTTTCACGCTCACACTTTGGTAGCGCAACCTCTGTCATGCGCAAGAGACGGTAAACAGATTCATCAAGGAGATTTGCAGAGAAAAATAAGAATAAGAAAAAAAAACAAAAAAAACAACAAGAATATGCCGCCACCATATGCACCGTCACATGTACACAGAATCATAAAACATGTAGCCCAGATGTCTTCGTTACTTCGTTCGTCATCTACGCGATGGCTGCTTCTTCCCGCCCAATCCGTCCATCAGCGCAGCGCCCAAAGCTGCAGTCGCCACCTTGGCGCCCTTTGCGCCTAGCCACGGACTCGGGTCGTTGCGGCTCTGCATCACCGCTTGCGCTCCTGCGCTCAAGGCAGTGCGCGCACCCGCCTGCACATAGGGGTTCTGCCACCACTGCTTGATGGCCGCCTTTGCTGCTGCTGCCGACGCCGACGCCGACGCCGGCGGAGGTGCCGGAGCGGATTTGCGTCGCGCATGCGACGGCCTCGACGATGGAGTTGCCACGTCGCGGTCTCGGCCGCGAGGAGAAAATACGTCACGCGTCTTGGTGCGGTCGTGGGATCTAGCGCGGCGATGCTGCATTGCATCCTGGCCCCCGAACGGAGATGAGATGTAGGTGCGAGCTCGCGGTCGTGGCTCCGGCGAGGAAGGCCGAGATTTCCGAGGCCGGTAGCCAGCTTCATCCCGATCTCGTGGACCATGTCTGCCATAGTCGACTGGCGAGACTGCTTTATCCCGTCGTGGCCGGTAGTCCAAATCATCGCGATGAGAGCGGCGGAACTTTTCTTCCGGCATTGGGTGATAGCCGCCGTGGTCGTAGTCCCCGGAGTGGTCTCGCGCATATTGTGAGCGTCGCGGTTCGCGTCTCTCCCCCTCAAACTGTCTGTCCCTTCGAGGCTCGCGCGGAAGCGGTTCTGAGGAATAATATGGCGGGGGACTTCTGGCTCGACGGCCACCGGCCGGCTTGCTCATAGCCAAATGCTCGGGGGGCTCTCGGCGAGAGTATCCGCGTCGTGGCGCGTAAGCATCCGCTTGTGGTGCCATGTCGGGACTGCGGCGACGGGGTCTCCCTTCCGACTTGTGTCGTTGAGGCGGCGAAGGACCATAGTGCGGGCCG